CTTGGTGTGGTTTTGATTTGCATCTCCCTGATGATTAGTGAGGTTGAACATTTCTTCATGTGTCTTTTGGCCGCTTGGATGTCTTCCTTTGTGAAGTGTCTGTTCATATCTTTTGCCCATTTTATAATGGGGCTGTTTGTGTGTTTCTTTTTAGCATGTTTGAGTTCCTTGTAGATCCAAGATGTTAAGCCTTTGTCAGACCTGGTGTTGGCAAATACTTTTTCCCAGTCTGTAGGCTGTCTCCCTGCTCTCTTGATGGTTTCTTTGGCTTTGCAGAAGCTTGTCAGTTTAATAAGGTCCCACTTGTGTATCTTCTCTCTTATGACCTGTGGGTTTCGGGTTTTGTTCAGAAATTGGATGCCAGTTCCAATTTCCATGAGGATATGTCCTTCATTTTCTAAGGTTCTTATGGTTTGAGGTTTTACATTTAGCTCTCTGATCCATTTGGAGTTAATTTTTGTGTGTGGGGATAGACAGGGGTCCTGTTTCAATCTTCTGCATGTGGTCAGCCAGTTTTCCCAGTTTCATTTACTGAATAGGTTTTCCTCTCCCCAGTAGTAGGTGGTGGAGGCTTTGTCAAAGATGAGTTGGTTGAGAAATTGAGGTTTTGCTTCTGGAATCTCAATTCTATTCCATTGGTCTATATGCCTGTTCCTATACCAATACCAAGCTGTTTTGATGATTGTAGCTTTATAGTAAAGTTTGAAGTCTGGTAATGTGATACCTCCTGCTTTGTTTTGTTTTGTTTTGCTGAGGATTGTTCTGGCTATTCTTGTTCATTTGTGTTTCCATATGAATGCTTGTGTTGTTTTTTCTAGGTCTGAGAAGAATGTTGCTGGTAATTTGATGGGTATTGCATTGAATTTGTAAATTGCCTGAGGTAAGATGGACATCTTCACAATATTGATTCTTCCAATCCATGAGCATGGGATATTTTTCCACTTGTTTGAGTAAGCTTTGATTTCTTTGAGCAGTGCTTTGTAGTTTTCATTGTAAAGGTCTTTCACGGTTCTGGTTAGGAAGATGCCAAGGTATTTTAATTTTTTTGTGGCTGTTGTGAGTGGAATTGTGGTTTTTATTTGGGTTTCTATTTGTTTATTATTGGTGTAAAGAAATGTGATTCTCTTTTGCACATTTATTTGGTATCCTGAGACTTTGCCAAAGGCCTTTATAAGTGTAAGAAGGTTTTTGACAGATTCTCTTGGGTTTTCAAGGTACACAATCATATCGTCTGCAAAGAGAGATAACTTGACTTCCTCTTTTCCTATTTGGATACCCCTGATTGCCTTCTCTTCTCTGATTACGTGAGCCAGGACTTCCAATACTATGTTGAACAGGAGGGGTGAGAGTGGGCATCCTTGTCTTGTTCCAGTTTTCAGGGGAAATGGTTCCAATTTTTGTCCGTTTAGGAGTATGCTGGCTGTGGGTTTCTCATAGATGGCTTTTACTATTTTGAGGTATGTTCTCCGTATACCTAGATGTTCGAGGGTTTTTATCAAGAAGGGGTGCTGGATTTTATCAAAAGCTTTTTCTGCATCTAATCATATAATCATGTGGTTTTTGTTTGGACATCTGCTGATGTATTTAATTACATTTATGGTTTTACGAATGTTGAACCAGGCTTGCATCCCAGGTATGAAGCCTACTTGGTCGTGATGGATGATTT